GAAGAGAGGATGCTATTTTTAAAGCACTCCGTCTCTACATTCCTCTGCGAGGGGGATGTGACGCCGAAAACATATAAAAATAAAATGACAGAGGGGTGGAGACAGGAATAAAGCTAAGAACATGAAGGCTACTGGTGTTTTTCTTTTCTCCTTGCAAAAAGATTTGACCTGCGCAGAAATTACATCGGTGCTGTTGACTGTGGTGACGCCGCTTTGCACACAGGGTGTTTTACCAGAAGGGCCCCTCCCACCTCCGAGGATGATTCATAAAGACACCCACGCTTACTACAAGCATGGCCCTCTCCAGGATTCAGGAGAATAGTGACTTTGAAGGGCACTTGACCGTTTAAAGCTGCTGAATGCTGTGTCCTACGTGCACAGCTAAAGGACCAAGCACTCTCTATTAATCTGCAACAGCTTTTGTTGTTAAAAAAGAGGGGCAGTGTACGCTTACATCAGTAGCATTTTGCGTTTATGGAACAGAAATGTGGGCACAGCAAAAGGCCATTTTCCTCCATCTGAACAAATATGTGATTTGAGCAGCCACATTTAATAACCTCTTAAGTCCCTTTGCCCATCAGACAAGAATCATCATGTCTGCACAGCTCTGCCTCCGGGTGGGTAGCAGTGTTGTTTGCAAAAATGTACAATGAAGTAACTGAGCTGTTCATATTACACCCAGGAGAGGATTTATTGTAGGGTTACATCCTTTTGATGGTTGTTTTTAAGGTACTAAATGGTCTCGCTCCTCCCTACCTTACCAAGCTTTTAAACACCTGTAGGTTTCCTAGAGTTCTCAGATCAGCTAATCTGGGTTTATTGGAAGTCCAGAGGACCAGATATGAGAGGTGGGGGGACCGAACCTTTGCAGTTGCTGCTCCCAAGTTATGGAACAGTTTGCCACCTGAACTGTGTTCAATATCAGATGTTGTCTCTATTAAATCAGAATTAAAATCATATCTTTTAAAATTAGCGTTTGGCTCCCAGTAGTTTATCGACACTCAGATTACTGTTCTATTGTTGTGGGTTTCTGTTTGTCTGTGTAGTTCCATGTTAACATACTTGTATGTCGACAGCTGTGATCTGCTCCTTGTGAGGCAAGTACATCATATAAATCACTATTTGTATTCCTATGAAATTTTCAAATTGGTGTTTTAGTGAGACCATTGGAATGGTCAGTTTTCCAGTCTTCAAAATTTAGCTGTAATTTAGTTCATTTGCATAATATTTTCTTCTATTAATATTATAAAAAGCCACTTCTCATGACATCTTCTCATTGCTCATTTGGTCCAAACATAAGTGCAAAACCCAAAGATGGAATTAGGTCATGTTTATTAAGGTAGTTGATTAATTTTCTGTCAAATTACTGATAATCAACTAATTGTTATTGTACAAATGTCTATAGCTCTAGGGTATCCACTTTGAGGTATGGGGAGCAGAGTTTATCCCTGCACACACTGGACAGGAGACAAGGGATGCCTTTGATAAGTAGCCAGTGTATCACAGGGCTGACATTCACATGACATACACTCATTACTCATACATATTTCCAGTTTAGCAGTGCAGTGAGAGGAAACCCACACAGAGACAGGGAGAACCTGCAAACTCTAGAGAGTCTTTGGCCCTGGATGTGAAGTGAGGTGACATGGTGTGCACTGCAACTGAAGCCAATTACAGCAGTTGTACCTAGGTCACAGAGGCACATCTGTTCAGCATGAATGCATTAAAAACAACAGAAGACCAGACTTTAGATATATACAGACTTTAATTATGCAAGAAGGGAAAAAAAATGTACAAACAGTGTCATTGATCGGCGGGATCTAGTGACAACAGATGAGTCAGATTAATTGTCAGGTGTTGCCTTGGGGCTGTAGTCAATTAGCTCCTTGTTGAGGGTTTCCACCTGGAACCAGGGGCCATCTCCCTTTTCCCTCATATGGCGACGCACCTCCAGCTGTTTCAGCCTGTTGACAACAAGTTAGTGAATTAATAAAACAATGCTCCAGGTATGGGGGGAAAAAAGCACAATGTGTGAGCCCCAGAACAGTACGACAACAAAAAAAAATCATGACATTTCTTTCTTCAAAAACAACAAAAGTGGCTGTCTCTTCTTTGTTTAATATGGAGTTAGAGCAGGGCACTTAGTGCAGCTCCTCTTGCCACTGTAGTCAAGTACCCCTGCAGTCCTTTTTAAGGCTCTTGCAAATAGAAATATTGCCTTTTCATTCAATCCTGTGCAAAACAAATGGATGTTTGGTGTGTGGCAAACACATAATTAATTTTAGTTTAACAGGAATGCATCATAACACCAATACAGCTTATGATTTATCAACACAATCACAGCTCTCTCACTGAACAAATGTTTATAGTAGCCACATGTACAATGTTTTTATGAACCCCTTTAGTTAGGTAAAACTGAATTGAAATTGAATATGTCTCTCATCTCATCTCATTTTCTATACCGCTTAAGTCCTGAACAGGGTCACAGGAGCCAATCCCAGCCGGCACTGGGTGAAAGGCGGGGTACACCCTGGACAGGTCACCGGTCCAACGCAGGGCCAACACACACTGGTTTGAGTGTTTGTGCTCGATTTTCTGAGCCAAAGACCAAGACATTATGGAAACAGGGAGATTCAATCCGACACAACTTAGCACCGCAGCACGGAAACTGCAGAGTAGTGTTGCTTTCGTCAACGAAAATTATGACTAAATATCGTCGTCAACGAACCTTTATCGCGTGACAAAAACGAGATGAGACGTAACGAAAATGCTGGTCGTGTGACGATGACTATAATTAAATGTATAATGCAATATTGTTGACGAAAAAACGAGACTAAATGTGGTTCACAAAATAAAAACTATCCCAAAATGTCTCTTTATTTTCATTGACCAAAACTAAATGAAATGTTACTTTATTTCGTCTCGTTATTATTATTATTATTTTGCAGTATTTCTGTTTCCTGTGTCTCGCATCAGGGGCTGCATCAAGCCGTACTGCGCAGACGCAGGCAACATCAGTTCCTTAAGCCCCACTCGCGGTGTTATTTTGAAGATGACAACAAACAAAGTTAAGTCTGACACAAAGAAAGGGACCGATGGCCGGCAAGCCGGGGTTCGTCATTGGGAGGAAAAGAAGAAACGACATTTGGAAAAACTTTAATTACATAGAAGTGGAAAAGAAAATGGAATGTGTTGTGGGAAAAGATGGGGAGAAATGTGGCCACAAAAATCACACAAAATGTGTATTGGATGTATTCTTGAGTCTATAAGGTAAGGTGCTGCCCCATATTGAATATGCTTGGAAACTAATAACAATATAATTTAAGAAAAGAAATGCGGTTAGCATACCTTCACACAAAACAGGACTTTGAGGACAGATAACACTGCTTACCTCATGTCTGCCTTTTCTTTTTCAATCTGGATTACAGCCATCACCTTTTCATAGTCCTTCACTGGGGAGTCGAAAATGTTCCGTGCAATCCACCTGGTGATGGGGTGCTGCAATGACAGGGATAAGACAAAAGCGTTTTAATATTTTATAAACATCTTTGATGCAAACAAAGTATAAGATCATCAGGTTTCTCAGCTGCTTCAGTATCATGATTACCTCAGCCCCTTTTTATTGTAAATCAATCATTATTTACATCATAAGTTACAGTCACGTGTGTGACATCATGATATATTCACTACCATGCATTGATTTATAGTAGCTAAGCACTACATTTTACAAAATTCATTAGTATGACAGGCTTTGTTCTGGTATGGATGATATGGTGTGAACTTTTCCTGCATCAAGGCTCAGAGCAGTGATTCAGAAAGCCTTCTTAAAGAACTAATGAGAAAAAAAAAACAGGCCATATACCTTGTAGTATTCCCAATAGTCAGGTTCGTAGCCCTCAGGAATTTCAGCCAGCTCTGCCTCACCTGCACAACACAATCACACTCAATTTTAATTCAAAATTAAATATAAATTATTTTTGGTTTAAGTCACATCTTAAACAATTCAAAGTCCAGTGAAGTCAAGTGAAAATAACTAAACACTGAAACAAAAAAAACACAAAAATGTTGAAGACATCTGCATACTTACCAATGAAGACATTCACACATGTGACAATAACAGCCATAGGAATGCCAGTTAGCATGATGTAAAATCGCTGTGAAAATATGAGAAGGCAAAATGAAATACTGAAAATGTTGTTCTGCATGTGTAGTGATCCACAGTGGAGATCTAAACAAGCTAACTGTTATTTTTAGATAAAGTAGCTGATATTTTATGCCTGGCTTTTATTTCATTAGGTTGCACTTACTGTATATATCATAGAAAGCACAAGAGTAACTGTTAGATCTAGATTCTGCCCATGCCTGCTCACTGCTGGCTGCATGTACTCCAAGTAATTCAAGTGTGTAAGCTTATTCTATTGTTGAACTAAGCGCAAGTCAATTTGAATTATGTAAATATAAATATGACATGTGGAAACATGCTCTAAATGAAAGGCAGTAATGTGCATGCTATTTAATAGGTAGCTTTGGTAAGTTAATTACAGTAGCTTAGAGAAGCATGCAAATACATTAAGGAATATAACTTTACAGACTACTGGAGAAGGTACATTTGAACAACATTACATTACAGACTTTTAACATCCTTGTCCAAACTTCAAAGGAGTAGGTACAGCAAAGCTCCAGTTCAGTGGTTTGTCTATCAACATAGCGGTTTATGAAAACAGGCTGCTGCTGCGGCTGATCGCAGCATTTACACACTACAGCTTCCAGTTTGTCACGATTACAGGCAGTGAATGAGGTGGTGTTCCAATACTCACCAATAACCTCAGAAATCGCTTGTCATAGTAGCTGGTGGGACTGATCACAAACATTTTCTTTCCATGATCCCAACGGATGGCCTCTGCAAAACAAGGAAAGGGATGCTCTTTTGACCATGTGTTTGCCAATTAACATTTAGTGCTATACTGACATAGTATCTAAATTATCATACAAGACTAGACAGACTGGTATGTATGTCATGTAGATTAAATGTTTTATGATTTAAAGGGTTAGGATCAATGTCCTGATACACACACGTCACTGATAATTCACCTCAACATGTCTTCTTGTCAGTAAAACAATGGTGGGCAAAACGGACAAAATCACTATTACTACAATTATCAAAGCTTTATCTTGATATCAATATAGGCAGCAACTAACAATTATTTTCCTTAATGATTAATGATTCATCTATAAAATGTCGGAAAATAACAATTTCCTACATCATAAGGTGGAACCAGCAAATGCTTAGCAACTTAAACAATTAATCATTTACTGAAATAGCACAATTCATTTTCTGTATTAAAACTAATTGATCCAGAATCGTGTGATAAAATGTTTAATGTGCATGCACCTGAGTCCAACGAGATTTAGTGTTACGTCACTAAAAGTGGCGTTAATACTAGTCTATACAGATACAAATTTTCCAAAGTATTTTAGCTTTTAAATTATATCTAAGTGTGTTCGTTACAATTAAACATATCACTCAAATTATCAAGAAAAACATTGGTGAATTTTGACATGACATGTTTATATGGATGGATGGTACATTTTATTTTAAACCCTGTAAAACCAATTTGCTTAGTTTATGTTGACAACTGGGCAAACGTTTGCAGCTAGTTCACGTTAGCAAGCTAACAAACAAGCTACAAGGTCATAAGAACAGACGGCCACCTCTAGGGTCAAACCCATCCCTATATCAACAGCTACGGTGTTCCTTACCTTTATGTGTCCGTGGGATTGTTCGCGTGAGTAAATTCGCCGTCGCATTTCCAGATTTCAAAGGACTCAGCCTGGCTGCAAAGGCGGCAGCAGCAGACCTGAGAACACTCATGCCCACCATCTCTACTGTGGGAACACAGCGCAACAACAAGGACTGTGATTCGTTTACGAGGAGGTGAAGCCAAAACCGTCATATTTACTTAGGTCAGAATGGGGAGACGCTGGATTCAGTCGAGGAAAGTTAAGTTTTCCAACTAGGCCACAACAGAGCAAGTCTAGATTTGACAAAATTAAACTAGATAATACAATGGCTGTAAAGAATATTTAAAACGCAAAATTGTGAAACCTTTTTCCTATTTGTGAAAAAACAAAACGGGGCAATGACACTGTGGGGGGCGGTAATATGCCCAATAACGTCTACACTCTCAAAAATTACAGAAGAAGAAGAAGAAGAAGAAAGATGGCGGCGTCCTCAATGGCAGGACGCGTTTTGACTCTTTGCAAGCAGTTTCAAAATGTGTTCAGAATATCTTCGGGGATAAATGCTAAAAATGCTGCTGTTAATTTGGCCAAACACTATTCTCATCTATACAGGTAAGAGTCTGCTAGGGTGGACAAAACCGGCATTAAGCGACATAAAACTATTATGGTTTTGATGTAGCCTGTTTAGACCTACCAGTGATTGTGTACAATGGAATCATTATTCAGGCATAAAATTCTCCTATATTAAATTAAATTAAAGTAGACATTAGATCATCTGAACTAAGTTTGATGATATTTTTGGAGCTTGTCTGACTTCGTGCACTCCATGCATTCTTAGAACAGATACAAGCTCAAATCGATCTTAGGTAGCTGTGTGGCCAGGCCATACAGTTTATGGGCAAGACAGGAAAAATGCTTTTCGTTATGTTTTGCCAGTAAATGCAGTTCACAGACTTTTAATTACTTAATCTGAAAATAGGAAGTGATTACAGGCCACATCTTGAAAACTAATCTTGCAGGCCAGCAAACACTTCCAGGTGACCTTGATTTGTTTCCTGTAGTATTTGGATGGTTGGTGCCACAATTCACGAACATCAGATGTCAAATATAGATCTTTTTATCCTCTCCTTTAATTTGGATTTTGATGCTCAATAATGTACAGTGGCGGGTTTTTGGGGAGGGGGGGCTCGCCCCGGGGGGGAATCA